GAGTTTCCATAATTCATCACCAAGGAGGATTTTTCTGCTCCTCACCAACGTGTCTGTGTGTCTGTGTGCAGTGATCCAGATCCACGCATCGCCCCGAAGCTCAGAGCGGCTCCGTGGGAGAGGAACCTCACTGAGGGTGAGTTCACTGCATCACCAGATATGGAGACACGCATGTTAGTGTGCTCTTCTATAGAGCTGACAAAAGACATCTTAGCAGCATTAAGCTTTACTTAATTCAGCATTTAAGAAAAATAATATCACATTCAAAAGGTCCACTTATTAGTTATAAGTGGTTATCGATACTAGCAGCTGTTTTCAACCGTAAATTATAAATAAATCAGACAAGTATAAGATGAAAGAGGGCTGTTTTAATTTGTAAAAAGCTTCGCAGTTTTCCTTTCTATTAAAGATAAAACCTTGACGATGATGCTGCATAAAAAGATGTTTTACAGACAGAGTGAGATTGTGTTTCTTCTTCACGTGGTTCTGTTTAAGGTGTCGTGTTCTCTCCACTGTTCAGTGGCTTCAGTTGTGAATCCTTGTCCTTGTGTTTTTGAAGATTCTCTCTTCTTTGCTTCCCGTCTTTCCTCTGTTTGTCTCACTGTTTCTCCCTCTCCAATTCATGCAGCTTTCAGTTTTTTTCCACTTCCCTTCTTCGTTCTTTTCTGACTTCACCTGTATTTTGTAATCCTTGTCTTCATGTTGTGTGTTTAATGTGAGTCAGTCTTTGTCAGGTGTTCGTCTCTGTTTCCTTCACTTCTGTAGTTCTCTTTTATTTATTTGGTTCTTTTATTAGATTTTTCCTACTAGAACAAAACAGTTGTTTTTTTGTCACTGCACATGCTTGTGTTGAGGGTCACTCAGCTACTTTGTACCCAACCTTACATCCTTAGATGTGGTTCTCCAGCTGACCCTTCTTTGCTCTCCCCTCAGGTACCCGTCCCAGAGTGGTACGTCGGATTTTCACCAACAGTCGAGAACGATGGCGCCAGCAGAACGTGAATGGTGCATTCGCAGAGCTGCGACGTCTCATACCCACCCACCCCCCAGACAGGAAGCTCAGCAAGAACGAGATCCTACGCCTCGCCCTCAGGTACATCAGCTTTCTGGACCATCTACTGACTGAGCAAGACCTCAGCGGGGCCCCACAGAGCCAGGCTGTGAGGCTGGAGGAGGACAGACTGCAGGGGACGCCATCACCTAACTCCACCTGCGAGAGTTCATCAGAGGGAGACTCTGATGGGCTGATGGGGGAGCAGAGGCAGCTCCAGTACCAGCAGGTACAGCTGAGCAGGTCGAGCAGAGATCAGCTGAGACTGTTTCATCACTCCAGATGTGAAAGCCCCTGCAGTCTGGGGTCAGACTGATGCTCCTGTGCTCCAGTTCTGCTGTTTGTCGTCAGTCAGCTGATTCAGCCTCAAACACAAAGATGTAAACAGGGAACACTAACAAGACAGAAACCTTCGTCGTTTACAAGCTTTTCGTCAGACAATGCCTCTGCATTATTTCTGACTGGTTTTAGAAAATCACAAAAATGATACAGGACACTTCATGCAGCAGACAGATGAATTATTGATCTTCATGAATAAATGATTACAGGTCAGACGTACTGGCATTGGGAACATCTGTTCATATTGTAAATGTTTTGGGTTAAACTGATGATATTCTTCCTCAGTGAGGTGAACAGAGTGAAAGGGAAATGTGGATTTTAAAGGCCATTTAATACATGATTGAGATGTTAGTGTAGCTAAATAAAAGCACAGAGTGATGGCTGGTAGCTTTAAAAGCACACATGGAATTATCCATAAATATGAATTATTCTGCATTTAGTAATTCACTAATGAAAAAAGTTCATGTGATATTCACATGTATCAGTGTTATTAGACGTGTGCTTTCCTTGTTGTTTGTGTGTTTTATGTTTGATATTCAGGGTGATGTTCTGCCATGAAGCAGAAGAACCAGTAACCAGATTCAGGTTCTTTCATGAGGAACCTTTGGTGATTTTAATGTTAATAAAAATGTCTTTTTGTCCACTGATGAAATCTGTGATGATGCGCAGGTGTGATGCTCATATCTGAATACAGAGAAATAAAAATACAGAGAAACTGATGCTGTTCCTCTTCATTAATGACAACCTGCTGATTCACTCGTGCAAGACTATCATAAATTCTTCATTTCTTTTTTTCTAAATTTGCACCTGATGGTTGAGTGAAGAGCTGCAATAAACTGATATCATCACATACTCATATAGTCTTTGTCCAAGAAGTCCTCGGCATACTTCAGTCTGACTTAAGGGTG